CAGTTTCACCAGCGACATAGTAAACCATCGCCTTCACCTCTTTAATTATTCTTCATTGAACCTTACCACTTGAGCCTAGTTAGTATGTCATAGTTACACACTCAAGCTAAAAATTCATTCTCCTTTTAATAGAATATCATCAAAACTTTTCATTCATTATTACTAATCATTTATCATAATTATATGAAAAATAATGACTTTTGCCAGAAAAATTGATTCATACTACTTTTATTAAAAGTAGTGGAGTTATGCCGAAAAATTAGAGACTTAGATATCTATGTAGTAATTTAAAAAGAAAACATGAAAGAATAGAAAAAAGCAGAAAGAATTTGAGAGAATGGGAGAAAGGTGGAGGGGTTAAAGAGATAAATTTTCTATCATTGTATTGGGAAGAAGACCGGCGTTTCTTTTTCTTTTTGTTAATTATTTTTAAAAAATAATAGTTGTACAAGTTGGAGAATTAAAAGAAAAGAAAAAAATATTATTTCAAGCCTAGTTAACACGCTTAAAGAGGGTGAAACACATTTTTTTTGTCATGTCAGCAATTTGTGTTTAATAAGAATGACTTTTGAACAAATAAGGTGTTCAATAGAAATAAATATATTCTAATTGAGGTGTCTAAGTGAAATATGCGGACAACTTTGAGTGCTCGTGGAGGACTTAAGCCTATAATTTAGTTATTTTTGTATAAACTCGAAATAACAAATTTATACAATTACAAACATTAGAAGTGTAAACAGTTATACAAATCTGAATCATAAAAAAGTTATACCAATTGTATTATACAAATTTCGAACTATACAAAACTAAAAAGTTGAGCCGCGTAATTATAGCTAAAAGTAGGTCACAAATTGTAACTATGACAAACTATAACTATGTTAAATAATTAATTAATATATGTTGCTTATACGCCTAATTTTTTCAAAAATTAAAGCCTGAGCACCAGGTACAAATGACTTGGCTGGCGTAGTGGTTACAAGTGGGCGTCAAGGCTGCTAGTTGCTCTTATTCCTCTTAGCACCTCTTTCTACTTATTTATTTCAATTTGATTTTTTAATTTATTTTTCTCTCTATGTTGATTGTACTTTTCACTTATTTATTTCAATTTGATTTTTTGATTTATTTTTCTCTATATGTTGATTGTACTTTTTTTCCTTTATGCCCTTTTGCTGACTTTTTCTAAACAGAATTTTATTAAAAAACTTTTCCTCTTCCTTTTTTTCTTTATTAATAATAATTATTAGATAATACATAAATATACCCTTTAATTTAGTTTTAAATCACATTTATGTCCTTCAATTTTTTGTATGCACAAGTAGATATTTAAATTTGTATAAAGTTGTACAAATAGACACACATGTACTACATGATATCCTACGTGTCATTTTTTTTATCATACGTGGTGTCCTATGTGTATAATGACATGCAATACTCATTTGTTTACTTGTTCAACTTTATACAAGTTTAAGTCTCTACTTGTACATACCCAAAGTTAAAAGACATAAATATAAAATGAGGGCAAGTTAAAGGACACATTTATGTATTATGCCTAAATTTTAGGGAAAATTGTATAAAATAGCAAACTAATAATCTAAATTAAATTGAATAGCTAGGGTTTGATTTAATTGTGCTCCATAGGAAACATTGACAAAAATTTGCCAGACGTCTCTCTCCCAGAAGTCTCGCTCGCCACTCTCTCATTCTCGCCTCTCTCGCTTTATACACAGAAGTGTATAATTTCTGTTTCTATTTTGTATAAAGCGAGAGAAAATTGTATATACACATGCAAAAATGTATATCTTCGTGTTATACACTTAATTATATAATTTACAAACATTTTACTTCAAATATTGCAGAGAAAAAAGCCAAAAGAATTATACAATTGTGAATTATCCAATTGCAGTGAAATACAATTTTTCTAGCTTTATACAACAGAAGTGTATATATTGTGTTTCTGTTTTTGTATAAAGCGAGAAAAACATATATCTTCTTGCTATACACTTATAATTATGCAATATACATACATTTTAATTCGATTCAACTGTATGCAAAGCTAATTATACAATTGCAGCGAAATAGGCCAGCGAATTATACAATTTAAGGCCAACGAATTATACACTTTTATATGTATAGTGAATTATACAGTTTTTATGTTTGCTATGGAGCGCAATTATGCAAAGTTTGCTATATTATACAAATATGATATTTTTTTTTGCTATATGTGAAAGTTACCCTAAATTTTATTATAGTAGTTTTATAGACCTTTTTCTCTATGATATTTAAATATGATTGTCTTTCTTAACACAAATGTTAAATTTGTGCACTTATATTTTGTAATTGATAGCTAAAGGAACATCCACAATCTTAAAATTCCGAATCTGCCATTGTTGGTGACTCAACTCATAACTTTGGGTTGAAAGTGAGGGGTGCTTACAATTCCCTCTCGTTTACATATTATAATACATTTTAAAGATACGAAATATGTAAGCAAATAATTCAAATGTTTTTTTTTTTTGTATTTATTATTGTATATTCACCAAGTTACATGTCTTCAGTGTCACCAGAAATCCCCACAAGAACAGCAGCCCTGCTTAAAATGATGAAATCTGTAGTTATCTCTTATTATGATTTCTCGATTTGTAATCTTCGAGATATGCTTCATTGTCGTATGACAGTCCAAACATATCCTAATGTTCTTGAACACACGTATAGTGGTTCCCTTAGGTAAGTTCAATAGGCCAAAGCAAACTGCTAACCGTTCACTGTGAAATAAGCATTTCTCTTTCGTAACCTTACCGAGTTCTCGAGTTGTTTTGTTCTCAATCTTTTGCATCAGATTATCCAATCTCGAATATACTTTTGGCGTATCTATATGTCTTGCATCACCAGAAAAGAATGTATGAATCTTTGCATTCACCTCCAACCAGCTACAACCGGGTTCCTTCTGGACTGACTTAGACTTCATCAGCTCTCTTTGATTGAGTGCATCCCTTACCTTGCCGGCTTCAACATACATGTTCGAGAGAGTGACATATACTGATGCATCACCAGGGTCGTGCTCTAATATTCTACTGGCCGCCATCTCTGCCATTTCAAGGCAACCGTGAAACCTGCAACCTGCTAGAAATGGTCTCCAAATTGGAGCATTAGGTTCAATTGGCAGCTGGTTTATGAATTCGAGAGCATCCTCTAACTGCCCTGATCTACTCAGAAGGTCAACCATGCAGCTATAGTGATTCTCTTCAGGTGGAATTCTGTAATCTCTAGTCATAGACTCGAACAACTCTTTCCCTTGTTGAACTAAACCACAATGGCTACAAGCAGAAATAACCGCAAGGAAAGTGAAACTCGTTGGTAATATCCCTTTCTCTACCATCTTTTCAAACAAGAAAATAGCCTTTATTGGATTACCATACTGTGAATAAGCTTTAACCATTGAATTAAACGTCACGTCATCTGGTTCAAATGTTTGACAGAAAACCTTCTCAGCGTCCTCTAAATTACCACATTGTGCATATGTTTCTATTAATGAACTCGCCACGTGCAAGTTTGCCCCAAACTTCCCCTTAACTACCCAAGAATGCACCTGCCTGCAGATTGCAAGGGATGGAAGTAACGAGCAGGCCCTCAGAGTAAGTGAACATGTATACTCATCACAAGCAATATCATTATTTAGCATCTTACGGAACATCTCCAATCCGGAACCGACCTCACCGTTGTGAACAAGGCTGGTTATTACTGCATTCCATGATGCACAAGATGCTACACGTCCCATTTCCTTGAGCTGTTTTCCAGCATTACCCAGTTCTGCACATTTTGAGTACATCTCTATGATGGCAGTCCCGACAAATACCTTTGAGATCATTCCATTCTTAATTGCCTGGGCATGAAGTGCGCAACCATAATCATGATAGGCTGCAGAAGCTGCACATGAAAGGGCTACAGAGTAGGTGTATTCATTAGGTTCAGTATTGTTCTTTCTCATCAAACAGAATTGTGTCAATGCCTTATCGAAAGCCTTTTGACGGTAAAATCCAGATATATATGCAGTCCAAGATATAAAGTTCTTACTAGCGAGTCCTTCGAACAAATTCTCAGCCTCCTCAATCATTCCAAAGTTGATGTACATCGTCAAAGCTGAATTTCCAACCACTGTAAGCGACATAAATTCCAGTTTTACAATATGAGCATGCAACTGTTGTCCTACTTGAACAGACTCACAAGCAGATAACAATATCGAGTATGTATAATGGTTTGACACGATATCTAGAATATCACCCATCTTGACAAAGAAAGCAAAGGCTTCAGATTCCATTCCATTGCTTACATACCCAGAAATCATGCTATTACACGAAGCCACATCAACGTAAGACAAACTACCAAATATCATCTCAGCACTTGCCATTTCACCACACTTTGCATACATATTAAGAAGGGCTGTAGCTACAAACTTATCGAACCAAATCCCCGTCTTAATTATGAAAGCATGGTATAATTTTCCAAGCTCAAAACATCCTTCACTACTACAATACTTCAACTGCTCAATCACATATTCCTCATCCATGTGATTGCTAGCACGATCAAACCTGGACTCTCCTAAAAACTCATCCGTTACATCGAAATTCCCATTGCTTTCCATAACCATTTCACCTATATCTACACATTCAGTAACACACAAATCTGCAACTGAAATTCTAGTTCTCTTAACAATTTCATCAAGCAGTTGGCGTGCAGCAACTAATTTCAGAACAGACACATTATTTGAAGAATATATGTATTTTCTCCGATGGCCATTCACAGTTAAAGGTAAAGAACAAAACGTTAAGCTACTCATTTGGAGCTTCAAAAATTCACCCAAAAATTTGAGCTCATAGAAATACTAAAATTGGAGCATAGTGGAGATACGATGGGTGTTTTGGTAAATTAACTTAATACATCCATGAATTATGATAGAGATCCATTTTCAGCCGTCCATTTATATTCTTGTAAAAGATAACATAACCAGAAGCGTGCAATCAGCAAAGGCGTATGGATTTTGCATCTGTTCTATCTCAAAAGCCAGTTAACAATTTTCATTTTCCTCAAAACCTAAGAGAGTTAACTTCAAGATTTGTTTGCAGAATTGAGTATGGAAGCTTTGCGATACCTAGACGAATGTGCTTCTCGAATAGTCTAGGTAGCTATTATTGGAAGAAGAGGAAAAAATACAAACATATATTGGTTAAGGCAAGTCGAAAAGAGTCTCCGTATGAAGTTTTAGGGGTATCTTCATCAGCGACCGCCGATGAAATCAAAAAGGCATATCGCAAACTTGCTCTCAAGTATCATCCCGATGTTAACAAAGAGGTAAAGAATTTGAATTTTAGTCATTTCTGTGGCATGATTTGTTATTTTGCTTTAGAGAAAGAAATGTTTCTGAATCGAATTTAGCCATTTCATAGCGTTCAGCGCTTTCTCTGTTTCTGATTAAAACATTCAGAAATCCACATTTCCTCATTTTGGATTGTTGTCAGAGAAAATTTAACCGGAGTAAACTGCTGTTACTATTCTGTATCTGTTGAACATAAATGCAATTGAGGCGTAGACTGGTATATACTTTCGTGTGGTCATTTAGCTTGGTGATTGTTGTCACTGAACTATTCTCTTGATTGATAAAATTGATATTTTGCATAGGCTTAAAGCAATGCTTCTATGTGATCAAATTGCTGCTCATCTATGCTATATATATCACACAAATATTTGCAGAAGTGGTGATAGCTAAAATGTCTAAGGTTGTTTAGATGTGTTAGTATATGACATAACACTGTTTACTGTTTGAAACAAGAAAAGAAGAAAGGTGGAGATGATTAGGGATCGAAGTCTTGAATGTGGATTCCTCTCGACTTCTATACTAGTGGTTTGTCTTTATGTATGTCCTTTACCAGTTTTTGGCAGTTAAGGGTTGCAGAAGTGTAGCAACTTATTCACTGCTTTATTTTGTTCTACAAGTTAACCTTTATCCCTATTGGGTCGAGGCTGAGTTTTGCTGAGCACTTCCTGTTGGTAGTGCTATCTCGGCTCTTAGCCTTGTGAGAATTCATAAAATGAAGAAAGCTAAGACTCTTCAACCTCGGGATAACTATATTGTCGTAGAAAAGACGACATTTGTCATTGTTGCTTATAGCTGTAGTGGTTCAGCAGTATAACCATCCGATGCTTGCTTTGTATCTCACTTCTCCAAGGGCCAGGATTAGCTCTAGAAATAACAAAATATGTTAGTCTAGCGACAGAAATTCCATACAATAGTGCAACACAATTTATTTTACTTTAGGAAATCAAGGCATCATATGTTAAAGGGAAAATGTATAAGTACCCCTAACCTATGCCCGAAATTTCAAAGACACGTATACTATACTAAGATCCTATTACCGTTGAACTTATTTTATAAATAATTTTCTACCCCTTTTCGGCGTACGTTGCACAATCTTCTGGGCTCAGTGCTTGCTAACAATTTTGTCAAGTTATCTGGTTGATAGTGTCACGTAGGCCGAAAAGGATAGAAAATTATCTATAAAATAAGTTCAGGGTTCTGACATTTCCGGCAGGTTGGGGGTACTAATGCGTTTTCCCTATGCTAAATTACCTATTCTTTTTACAATGCATATTCCTTGTTGGCGACAGGAAAGAAACAAGAAAAACAGATTGCCCTCAAGTTAAAACAGGGATAGGAACTAAAACTTCTCTTCCTTTCAAATGAACAAAACCTATTTTTATTGAAGTACTTATCCAGATTCATTTGATGTCTTTCTGTATAGCAAAATGCTCAAGAAAAATTTATGAGGATTAAGCATGCATACAACACACTATTGAACTCCAAAACCAGGAGGCGATATGATTCAAGAAGTGACACCTCAAGTTATTCATATTATAATGGAGCAGAACGAAATAGAAGTGCTGCAGATGAAGAAGACTTTTATAGCTTTGGTAAAACATCTTTGCTAATTGTGATATTTGTTGCTGACTTATTCTTAAGTTTTGTTAGTATGAGTGATTGCTTATGTCCAGACATATAAAAATACAGTTTTCTACAAATAGTCCTTGGCACAGCCTCATAGTATAGCAAAAGTGGTTTTATCTGGCCATCTCAAAGTCAGGAGATGGTTCAAACCTCTGTCTTTCTGTCCTCAAAAAGTACTAGATAACTCTTATAAGAATTATAACACGAATGGTTAAAGCATCTGTCATTCATCAATTAATGAACTAGAGTGTGTAATCTGATATGCCTCCAGTTTCTTGATTGAACTGTAAAGTTTACGAACAAAAGCATTTAGGTTGGACTTCTGGGGGATACATTTGCTGACTTTATAGGCACCAGCTCAAAAAGTAGAAAGAAAATCTTACTTTATGAGGATTGAGGTCTTACTTTTACCATGACGTTTAGCTCTTCAGGCCTCCCCCACTCCCCAGACTTCTACAGACAAACAGCATGGGTGACGGGGGGTGGATGTCAAATCCACCACAGAACCTGAATTATGTAATAGAGTTGGATGTTTGAACCCAATGTTGAATATTGTTTGTGATACCTCAAAATAGTTACATGACACAAATATCTTTGAATGTAGCATTATTTCCATATACAACATCCAAGTATAAGGCCAGTATTAAGTGTTCAAGAGGTTTCACCTACCATATTCATGCTAAGAAACTGTGTGTTAAAAAGAATGCTCAAAACGAAACAAAAAAAAAAGAGCAAGAAAAATAAAACAGAAATATACGTTAAACTATGCAGCAAGGCATTTTTTTTTTTTTTGCTTTACATTCTTATGTTTAACCCCTTCATGCTGCAGGTAGCTTTTTCAAGGATGCCCAAATAAGCATAGGTAGATTATAGCTAAAGATACAGTATCCATTATTGTCAACTGTGCTAGGATATTTATTCATTTATAGTTTGTCTTGCAGTTGAACGAGTCATGTGCTCAAGTCTAATTTCTTTCTGCAGCGGACTTCTTTAAGGATCTCCAAGAAGAATTTCGGAATTGGGAGGCAAATGTTGCTTCCACCGGAAAACCAAAGAGTTTATGGGAAGAATTAGCTGTAAGGATTTAATAAATTCAACCTATGAGAAAGAAAAACACAATTAACAAATCTAGAAATGATAAATTCAACTTACTTTCCACGCGATAAAGAAAGAATCAGAGTTTTCAATTTGATTGTTGACAGGAAATTGGAGAAGAATTCGTTGAGTTTTTAGAGAAGGAGCTGAATATAACTGATGCAGATGTAGAAGACGAAAACAACAACGAGAGACCCCAGAAGGGCAATGCACAATCTGGAACTAGTAACGAAAAACAAATGAGAACAGATAAAGATAACAGTATAGAAGAAAATATTGATGAGATTGAAGCAGCTCTTGCCCAATTGAAAAAGGAATTAGGACTATGATGGCATTGAATCGATACTCGCAAAGAAGAGCAATGAAATATTGAACATCTTTTTGGTTGTGCCTGGCTGCAACAAAAATGGTTCACCTACTTTAAACCTGTACCAGCTGAAAATCAAAAAGGGTTTGCTTTCTTTTCCTTGAACACCTGCTGTGATTGACATTTTCTATAGTAGCCATGGAGAACTGTCTGCTGCATCTTTTGACGTCTAAGAAATAGCTAGTATAATTGATGCTCAGACGAATACAATGATTTTGGTGTTTCACATGTGAAATTTAATAGCAAACAGGAAGATACTTATTAATTCTTGACGATGGGATGATCGGCATAGTACTCCTTAAACTACTACCATATGATGTTCATGGCGCGATCAGGTTTCTGCACAGTTCAGTTTTGTGTTGGTTATTTGGACTATAGTTAACTCAAGCACATGAAAAAATGGTCAATCCTTATTTAAGTGTTCCATATTTTTCTGGCAAAAATTAGTAAGAGTGTTTTTCTTATGAAAACAAAGGGTGAAAAATTAGAACTTATTTATATTAAAATAAGATAAAATTCCGTAACTAGGCAAACATGTGATATTATTTACCTTGCACAATTATAGTTTGGAAGAATTACAATTTATAGTTATAAGTTAGGATTTTATGGCTATTTCCTCTCTCCTCTCTCCCTCGCCTCTCTCCTCTTTTCTTTTCTCTCTAGCTCACCTCTCTCTTCTCTCCTCTCTCTCTCTTTCATATGTACCTCGCCTCTCTCAGCTCCCTAGTCCCTGCCCCTGCGGAAGTTAGTCCTATGAATGCATATGAGCCGGTAGTAGAAGTATCACAGCATTTGTAGCATATTTCCAAACCACCTTCATTTACTCAAAGGCTAAAGAAGAAAGTTGAGGATGGTAAGTTTTTGAATTCAGCTTATGTTTGTTTTCTTGAGTTTATCAGACTTAATTATATCTGTTCTTTAATTTTTGTACAACTGTCTTTATTCTGGTGTATCTCATATCATTTTGTCAATCATCAAAACTACGTAGAATACATTTGAAATAGGAAAAGAAATTACAATAGCAAAAAAAATCGTCACTAATTAATTATTTTTTTAATCATTAACATCATATTGTGAGGATTATTATAATAAAGCCCAACATAATTTCCTGAAAAGAACTAATATCATATCGTGGGGTTTATAGATCCCAACAATACATTACATTAATAATATCATATTTTAGGGGTTACACCAATAATGTCAAAATATCTCCAAAAATTCAAATTTCATTTTGTTAGATGTTTTCTTAGCACATATATTATTTTGAAGTGACAGAGTAACTACTCAATTTGAGATTTGACCCAATACCTACATAGTAGAAGATATATGTCATTTTGAAACAAAAGATATTGTCTATATTCGTGAAAACATATAAACTGTCTGTTGCTTGTCAAAGAATAAAAGTGTGACAATACTTAGTGTTACAACTCACGAGCAACGTATAAACTAAGATTGATATTTTTGTTTTTTTGTTTCACAGTAGGTATTTGGACTGCACGATCCACTTGAGGGTTGCGTTATGATTTTTTTTCATATTCAAGCTCGAACCTGAGACCTCTAATTGCAGGTGGAACAATTTTATTAGTGCACTATAACCCAGTTTGGTAGATTGATTTATAGTTTGTTAACTCTTTTTTAACAGGTTATGTGTTCCTCTTTTCCCTAGCCAAAACATAGTGTGGAATACGTATCCTTTCATCGAGCCACATAAATGGACTATTTGTATTCCTTTCGGTCTTGTTTCGTTTTTTAATGGCTTAACTCATCTACGGCCACTTAAAGTTGTCCACATATTTCACTTAAACACCTCAACATGTCCATTTTCCTATTAGACACTTCAACCTTAAAAAATAAATACCTATCAAACATTTTTCTGACACCTAATTAAAAAATGAAGTGCGTGCAACACACACGCAGTTGATGTGGCAAAATAACAAATTAAACTACCACATGTGACATTTTAGTTTAATTATCTTAAATAAATGAAATTAAAATACCAAAAAATCTAAATCTAAAAAAAAAAATAAAAAAATCCACCTCACCCCACCCACCCCAAACCTCCCCTTCTTCTCTTTCCCTTAAAGGTAACCCTTTCCACCATTGTTGTTGTTCATCTAAAAAAAAAAAGTGGAGATTTTAACATATACTAACTAAGAATTTTTTATTTTTGTTTCTCTTTATCGCGTCTTTTTGTTCCTATTTGAAATTGATGTTGTTATTTTTTTACAAAAAATACGTTCTTATTAATATTAATTCGAATTTTGTTTCTACTTTGTTGTGGAAGAAGAAGGGGTTGTGCGTCTCCATTTTTTTATGGTAAGGAGATGTGGATGATAGCCTTCGTTTTTTCCAGCAAAAAAATATGAATGGTGGTATCCATTTTTTCCGGCAAAAAAGATGTTAACATATAATTTTAAATCTGAAAAATTAGAACAATGACAAGAAGAAATATGATAAAACAACATATTAAGGCTTGGAATATAAGGAATAAAGTGATGTTTGGATTTATTATTGCCTTGGAATTCTTATGTTAATGGTGGATTGTTATGAAGAAATAGGAGCAACAGGGTGGTGCAAATTTTGAAAAGGAGGATTTGAAAAGATTGTTATTTAAAAAAAATAATGAGAAAAAAAGTTTGAAAATTGTTGATTAAATGATTCACGCGCTCATTAAAGCGTGAATCTCACTTTTTTGCCACATATGCACAACGTGTTTAAATGGTTTAAATTCAGAACAGTCCAGGTGTTCAATAGGTATAAGTCCTAGTTAAAGTGTTTAAGTGAAATATGTGGACAACTTTAAGGGCCGTCTATGACTTAAGCCTTTTTAATTTGTTTGTGTCGTTATTTTTCTTTTTTTTATCTGTTATGGAAAGAATGTTTTTTTAAATTTTTTTGTGGTAACTCTTTAATACTACCTTTTTACATGACATGTTTAAAAATATAAAATTAAATGACATTTTGATACATTCCGTATATATATTAGTTTAGGACCACACATACAAATATTGTTCTCTTTATTATTTTTTTTGAATTCAGTGTCAAATCAGAATCAAACTGACAAATTGTAACAAAAATAAAGTATTGTCTTAGATGTTTATGTTTCTGATTGAATTCAAAAAAACAGCTTCCAAGGTATTCTCAAGTTACAAGTTAATTCCACCTATAGTTACAATTAAACGTTTGAATGTTATGCCTCGATACCAACAAAGCCAACTATCAGAATCAATTTGGTAATCAGTAAAACGTTGAAGCTTTAAGAAATAGAAATTGATGCAAAGTAAAAAGACTTTTTAAGAACGAGACTCCGTAATACGATAAATAACCTTGAGAGAAGGAAATAAAAATAAAGTATAGTGCTGTGTAACAATAAGCGTATAATGTTTTATGTCCACATATTTTAACTTAAAAGTAAAGGACTCGTATGCTATAGGAGATCTGATGTATTTAATCGAACAAAAATCACGTTTAAGTATTGAGTTTAATTTTATCTGAGTTTTATTTCCTATATTAGTAGATTCACTAAACCTTATCTACTATAATGACAAAATTCATTATCAAGATAAGTTTACAATTATGATGTTAAAGCTGTGTTACTTTTATCATAATAGTGATTAGTGAATACCATTCATTTCGTTTCAAGTGACAATGTGACTTTATCTTTACAGCCATAAAATTAAATTACTTTTGAAATGGATAACGGGTTGTAAGTTGTAAATTGTATTAGTTCAATTACTATAGCTTAACCAAAAATAGTTAATGATTTTATTATCATAGCAGTAATATAGTTGATATTAACTTCAAACTATATAGGGATACATTTCTAAAAATAACTTATTTTAAAAATAGTTTTGTAAGTTTAATATTTTTTTTTAAAAAAAATACTTTAATTGAGAAGTAGCTTGTGTTTGATTAATCATTTTGAAAGTTTTTGAACAAAAATTAATGCTTGATCAAGCTTTTAAAAAGTATTCTTTAAAAAAAAATTCTCAAAAATATTTATTAAATAGCTTGGATATTCCGAATAAAGTACTTATTTTCTCTTTAAAAATTGGCCAAATACCTTATTTATTTATTTTTAGAAAAATACTTTTGCCCTCCTAAACATGTTTTTATATGCATGTATATACACTTATAAGTTAAAATTGGTCCACAAAGACGTGATCCCTCTTATATCATCCATTTTTATTTGTTATGTTGTAATTTTCAAAAGTTAATTTGAATAATTTTCAAAATTAAATTAGATTAAATTAATTTGATATTTAAAAAAAAATTAGATATTCAAAAGTTACACGAAAAATACTATAAATTGCAATATTTTATATATCAATATCATAAAAAAAATATCATAAAATATTAATCAAAGTGTTTATAATTTGACACTAAAAAAAAATTTATAATAATCAAAAGTGACGAGAAATAATATATATTACGTTTAATCTTAAACTTAAGTAATCCTAAATTGAAGAATGGGAAAAAAATTAAGTGAAAACGGAGAGGGGCCTTGATCTCGAATTTAATTGCAATAATTAGGCCGTGCAACTCCTTTCTAGACGCTAGAGGTATTAATTAATTATTTCAATAACTTCCCTTTTTTTTGTTGTTATTAAAAATGTTAAACTATAATTCAACAGCATATAATTAAATACCTACGTAATCTTTTAGGACAGTTAAAGAAATAAAGCAGATGTTAGATAATTGACCCCTTACACATGATTCGTGAGCTTCATTAATTATCTTTATATTATATATATACACAGGTACTTTCCATGTACGGTAGACAGTTAATTTATATTTTATATGAAGTAAAAATAAAAAATGTAATAAGTATTTAAGAACGGAGGAGAGGGAGTTAATAAAATAAATTAATTATGGTCAAAGGGAGCCTTCATGAGATCACTAATCTGGATTTAGAGATATTAACTACTCCTTACCTAATCTGCCATTCAAATCGTTCAATTCATTAACAAATCAATAATAGAATCCTGGTAGACCATGATAATTTGGTTTTCTATACCTAAAACAGCCCTCTAATTTTGACACTAATTATCATGTCATCTTTCAATAATTATCTTAACTAGAACAATATTACAAATCATATTTTATCTTATCTTAAACCAAAAGGAGTACTAGGCGTCAACTACCTTCGAAATAAAAATAAAAGTTTAATTGTGTCTAACTTGAAAAAAGGATATGTAACACTATCTTTATATTATCGGTAAAAACAACTTACAAAAGAAGCTAGCTACCCCAAAAGTAAATCAACCTTTTGTGGACTTTTCATTAGATTTCAATGTAGAATTA